GCCGAAGCCGTTGCTTAAGATGCACGCAGGGTAAGCAGACTGGGAGAGGCATGCGCGCACATATGACAGTACTAACTTCATCAAACAGACACATCGAAGTCGATGCAGAGAACAACGGCAACCTCTTCTTCTGGCACTACGAGAACCGCCACATCGCAGACAAACAGCGCACTGTACTATGGCTGAACGGCGGGCCAGGCTGCTCCTCGATGGACGGCGCCATGATGGAAGTCGGCCCATATAGAGTGCGCGAAGGCGGCAATCTCGAATACAACAACGGTTCATGGGACGAGTTCGCAAACCTGCTCTTCGTGGACCAGCCCGTCGGCACTGGCTTCAGCTATGTCAACACAAACAGCTACCTCACGGAACTGGACCAAATGGCCGACCACATGATTATCTTCTTGGAGAAGTGGTTTGCCCTATTTCCCGAATACGAGCATGACGATGTGAGTGGCTTGACTAAGTGGACCCGCGGGATACTGACATATGGTAGTTCTACATTGCCGGTGAATCTTACGCAGGACAACACATTCCCTACATCGCTCGCGCTATTCTCAAACGAAACAAAGAAAACCTCTCCAAAACACCATGGGCGCTCAAGGGTCTCATGATCGGAAACGGATGGATATCACCAGTCGATCAGTATCTCGCCTACATACCCTTTGCCTACCAGAATGGACTCATGCGGGCCGACACCGATTCGGCGAGACGCGTCGAAGAGCAACAGAGGACATGTGTCAAAAAGCTCGAAGAAGGCGGCATGAACACCGTCGACACGAGCGAGTGTGAGCAAATCATGGTCAGGATTCTGGAAGAGACCAAGAACAAGAAAGCCGACACGATGAACCAGTGTCTCAACATGTACGACATCCGTCTCCGTGACGACTCGTCTTGTGGAATGAACTGGCCCCCGGATCTTGCGCAGGTCACTCCCTACCTCCGCCGCCCAGATGTCATTCAGGCTCTCCACATCAACCCCGACAAGAAGACCGGCTGGCAGGAGTGCAACGGGGCTGTTTCTGGCCATTTCCGTGCCAGGAAGAGCGAGCCTGCTGTCAAGTTTCTACCCGAACTCATCGAGCAGGTTCCAACTCTCCTTTTCTCTGGTGACAAGGACTTCATTTGCAACCACGTTGGCACAGAGGCCATGATTGGCAACATGAAGTGGAACGGCGGAAAGGGGTTCGAAGCATCCCCTGGTGTACAGAACGCCAAGCAGGACTGGATGTTCGAAGGCGAAGCCGCTGGAACATGGCAGGAGGCGCGTAACCTCACATATGTTGTCTTCTACAACTCCAGCCACATGGTTCCTTTCGATTACCCCAGACGCACTCGGGACATGCTCGATCGCTTCATGGGCGTGAACATTGAGGCTATCGGTGGTGCTCCTGCCGACAGCCTCATCGATGGCGAGAAGGGCCCGCTGACCAGCGTTGGCGACCACCCCAACTCGACGCAAGCCGAAGAAGACAAGACCAAGGAGCTCAAGGCCGCAGAGTGGAAGGCCTACGCTCGCTCCGGCCAGGTCGCGCTCGTCGTTGTCGTTATCGTCGCCTGCCTCTGCGGCTTCTTGTGGTGGCGCAGCAGGCGCACAACCAGCGAATACAAGGGCACCGACAATGACGAAGGACGCGAGTCTCTTCTCACCGGTATGGGCCTCGACAACTTCCGCAGAAAAGAACGCAGGCAGGATCTTGAGGCCGCGGACTTTGATGAGAGGGAGCTCGATGATCTCGATGATGTGCCAAAGAAGCCGGGCAATGGCTATGCGAGCGTGGGCACGGAGAAGGGGCGAGAGTCGCACAATGACTCTACGTTCTCTTTGGGCGTTGATAGTGACGATGAGGAAGCTAGCTCGAGCGATCGGGGCAGGAGAAAGGAAGCTTCGTGATAGATTGGGATGTTTGTAACGGCGCTTCACAAATATACTAGGACAGGATTATAGCATTGCAGGCGTATTAGGGTGCCAAATTATATCACTTTGTCTTGCCAGCATTTACTTGGTATACGGTGGCTGTCTAATGGTGACGCGCATACCTAGCTATTGCCCCTTCACACGTGGGCCTCCATATACTGAGTATATGGAGACTTCAGACAGCTGAAGCCTGGTTGAGGTTTGCTAGTGCTGCACTCGAGTGTGGGTCTGGTCGATGCTGCCTTGAGAGCACGTGAGTGCGGGACTAGCGCGACCGCGTTCCTGCCGTCCCAAGGCGCGTCATCTTCAGCCACGACGCCTCGACTTCAGCAAAGCGGCGACCCATGCGCACCACATCGTAGCAACAACAATGCCTGCGTACGTTCAGAATTTCTACGCGTTCCTCACGCACCGTTTTCCGACATCAACAAAGTCCGCTAACAACGATGCAGGCCAGGCGACCAATACAACGGCGGCAACGTCAAGAACCCTTTCGAAGAACGCGTCGTAAACGGCTTCACGGCAAAGGAAATCGCGACACTACAGAGTCGACTGAATAAACAACTCGGTCCGGAATACATATCGCAACGGCCGGGTAATGGCGGTGGTAAGGTGGCGTACCTGGAGGGGAACAAGGCGATAGCGCTTGCGAATGAAGTCTTTGGGTTCAATGGATGGTCCAGCTCGCTGGGGCAGGTGCAGATCGATTACGTATGTTTTGGTCTCTCTGAGAAGCAAATGCATACTGACAAAGACAGGTCGACGAGCATCAAAACGGCAAGGTCAGCTTGGGTCTCTCAATAGTAGTGAGGATTACGCTGAAGGATGGCACATATCACGAGGTAATGAGGTCGCTCTTTACATCTCACCCTTGCTAATACCGCGTCAGGACATTGGCTACGGCTCAATAGAGAACGGCAAAGGCAAAGCAGCATCATTCGAAAAGGCCAAGAAAGAGGCGGCAACAGACGGCTTGAAGCGCTCGTTACGCACGTTCGGCAATGTCCTCGGTAATTGCTTATACGACAAGGAGTATCTCAAGAAGGTCCAGGTTATGAAGGTCAAACCCATCAAATTCCAGGAGGACAACCTCTACCGACATAACGATTTCAAACCGCCACCCCAACCTGAGGAGCAAGCTGTGGTCAAGCAGGAGCCACACAAGACACCGGTTCGACCCAACCAGGTCCTTCGCACGCGTACAGATCACCTGAACAACGAGTCGTTCGGGGCTGATTTTGACGACGATGCGGACGAGAACTTGTTCGATGGAGTTGATGTCTCAGAGGGCCATGGCGACGAATTCTCGTTGTCAGAGACATTGTCCGCTCCGGAGACGGCAGCGCCGCGCGCTATCCAGCCAGCGAAACCAAATGGTGTATCGTCTGGTCGCACCTCACCAGTTCGCAACACAGGACCCCCTCGCCAGCCCAACGGCAGACCTCCACAAGCCGGACGTGGCCAACCCGGTGTGCAACAACAGCAGCCAAACCAGGCACCCGGTAGACCTGCCCCTCACATGCAGAACGGAAGACAGCCACAAACTCCTGTTCAACAGCAGCCTCGACCTGTGCAGAATGGCGGTCGCATGGCCCCACCAGCAATAGACAACGGTGCTGCCTCGAGACCTGTAGCACAGCAGCCCCAGAACCAACAAGCCGCTCCTAACAACCAACCTCTCCGACCAACCCCACCCCAAGCACAACAACCACCGAACCAAGCACGACCAGTACCACAAGCCCAAGATACGACCACACCCGCTCAAAACGCACCTCCGCCCAACCACCGACCCCCCGTAGGCTTCGTAACCTCCCGCGCCGCCGAGCTCCTTCAAGCCTCAGACTCCGCCTCCCTAACCAACCTCCCATCCTTCAACCCCAACGCCGACTCTCCCATACCGAAAGAAAAACGCACCCCAGGTGTCGATCACGGGGCCAGCAAACCTATCAAACGCGACGCCGTCGGCGCACCGCCCGCCCCTCAACCACCACCCCAGCGACCAGGCGTCACATCAAACGGTTCCTTCAACCGCCCCAATGTTGTAAACCCACACATGCAAGCTGATCGCCGCATTGGCATGCCCGGCGCGCCAAACTACGCCATGAGCCCTAGTGCGAATCGTGGTCAGTACAAGCCGCCTACTTTCAACGGCGCGGGGCCTGGTAATGGCAATGGAAATCCTGCTGCTGGAGCTGGTGGTCCTGGAGGCGTTAAGAGAGAACGAGCCGCGTTGCAGGATGTTAGCAATGTGGGTGTTAATGGGAATGGGGGCGTGGGGAGTGAAGGGCCGGAGGCGAAGAAACAGAGGGTTGATGCGCCGCCGGGGGTGGAGAATGGCGGTGCTGCTAGTACGTGAGGTATTCGTGTGCTTTCCACGGGCAGATTTTATACTCCTGTGTCAGTGGGCAGGGCGTTATTCTGGTGGCAAAGGAAGGGTGTTTTGGCGTTATGAAAAGGGTGGTGACACGGTACTGTTTTAGCGGGGACATGTCTTTCGGGGTTATCATTTCTTTCGAAGTGGATAGTGTAAATGAGCGTTTCTGTCGTGAAAAGAGTAAAAGAATCCGATACATTGATACCAACCATTGTCAGAACATCGTAGTTTAAAGCTGCTGCTTCTCGGGCTTCGTTGGGAATGCACCAATGTAGATATGATCTGACTCTGCGTAAAATGAACGCATCCAGGGAAAGAATATGAGAGTCATTGACTTCATTAAGCTCGATGGTACTACATCACACACTTCTTCATGCTTAGCTGCCAGCTATCCTGGACGGTCTTTGTCGACGCCCTTGCATGAAACACGCTTTATCTGCATTTCGTCGTCCCTCAGACTCGGGTGGCAAAGCACCCATATCCCCTCTCTTCATCGCCTGTCGGTATCGAGCCTTTCCGCTCAACCAGCAGCTTCACGGTAAAAGCTAATCGAGTTATTCCCGCCCGCCAACGCGAACATCTCACTCTTGCCCGGCGCTTTCGGCAACCACTTTGCGCTCCAGAGCGGTTTGTCGCCGTGGGAATGCGTGGCTACACAGGACCGTGTTTCTATGCGCCAGACTTTTGCTTTGGAGTCGTGGGATCTATTCACGGAGCCATGTTAGCAAGAATCTTCCAAACCTTCGAATCCGCATTGGTAGGATGGTGTTCGGTTGTTGGGATGGGTATAGGGATGACTTGCCCACTCAACAGATACTCGCCCGTATCACTCCAGTCCAGACTCAACACCCACCCGCCGTGGCCAGTGAAGTTTGCGACTTGCTCCCCAGATGTGACGTCGTAGAGAGCGATGATGCGTGCGTCGCCGCCTGCTGCTAGTAGTTTTGAGGCGGGAGAGAAGGATACGGCGCGCACGGGGTGGACGAGGCCGGAGAGGGAGTGTGCGAGGCGCCCGGTTTCGTTGTTGAAGACGTAGATGGAGCCGTTTTCGTGGCCGGAGGCTGTGTATGTGCCGTTGCGGGACTGTGAGTGGGTAGGTTAGTAGGATTTGACAATTGATGGAGTGGGATGGGAGAAGGGAGGGAGACGTACCAAATCTACAGATAGACCGAAGCTGCCTTTTGTTTCGTACTCGCGTATCCGGGGCATACCCTCGTCTTTGTTGAGGCTCCAGACGTTGATCTTGCCGTTGATGCTGGTACTGGCTAGGTACTGGCCATCTGCACTCAGCGCAATGGCCCATATCTCACCGGGCTTGTTCTGGTCTGCAGTACTTGTCAGCTCCTTCCTCCTTCAACAACACCACTTCCTGCGATCCCAAAGAAAGCACGGAGGCGTACCCACCAACAATCTCTCCATCCTCACTCCATGATCCATCCTCATCTTGACTCCATATCTTGACTTTGCCTTCGAAGCCTGCGCTTGCGGCCCGTCGTGCCTTCTCTTCCCGTGCGGTTACTAGGTGGTGTATGCCGAGTGGATGCGCCTTGTCGAGTGTTTGTATTACGGGGAATTCGGCTTGTGTGGTGTCGTAGACGTTGATTCTGCTTGAGCCTGAGGCGGAGAGGAGTTGGGTGCTGGTTGGTGCTACGGCGAAGATGTCGCTTGCTTTGGGATGCGCCGAGTCGACTGTGTGGAGGGTGAGGTATTGTTTCGACTGGGGGTTGTTAGAAATGGTGTTCGGGGTAATACAGAAGGTGCATACCATTGTGACTTATCTGCAGCTCTGAAGAACTGTTTTCCGGGCGCGATTATCGTGACATGCGCGGAGTTTGGAGCTGAGAGCTAAATTCCAGCTCGATGTCGTCAGTACGGGCAACACGAAAACGCGCCGCCATCCCACTTGAGCCCCACCAAACACCAACGAGGACCCCTAGCTTGACCGCCAATCACACCCCGCTGCGCCCGACAGCTCCCCATGCACGAATAGGCATGCCATTGACTCTCTCGCGATTCCCCAGAATCTTGTTGAAAGAGTCACGAAGCGGCAGCCTACAGCTACCCACCCATCGACGCCTGACTCACCCTCCGCTGCCATCCCTCCCTACAAAACCCAGATACAACACATACATCCGCACCTTCACCACCCACCCCTCCAACATGGCGCCCACCGACCCCGTCCCCGCCTCCAAAGACGCCCTGTCCGCCAACCAACCCATCGTCATCTCCGGGCCCTCTGGCGCAGGCAAATCCACCATTCTAAAGCGCCTCTTTGACGAGTTCCCCGGCAAATTCGGCTTCAGCATATCGCACACTACGCGCGGACCCAGAGGAGAGGAGCAAGATGGCAAGGAATACTACTTCGTAACCAAAGAAGAGTTTTTGGATTTGGTAGAGAAGAAGGGATTTGTGGAGCATGCGCAGTTTGGTGGAAATCACTATGGTACGAGTGTCAAGGCTGTGAACGACATTGCCGAGAAGGGACAGATTTGTATTTTGGATATTGAGATGGAGGTAAGTCATTAGTCGCTGTTTGGTATGAAGCGTATCCTTGCTGACCACGTTGAATCTAGGGTGTCAAGCAAGTCGCAAACCACCCTACGTTCCCTCGCCCGCGGTTCTTGTTCTTGCAGCCGCCGTCCATGGAGATTCTGGAGAAGCGGTTGAGGAGTCGCGCGACAGATAAGGAGGAGGCTATCTTGAAGAGACTCAACCAGGCCAAGGTCGAGATGGAGTTTGCGCACAGTGGCCAGGCTCCGCACGACAAGATTGTGATCAACGACGATTTGGACAAGGCGTACAAGGAGGTCAAGGAGTTTGTTGTTGGTAGCGAGGCATGAAGACCAGCAAGAGGATGAAAAGCTTCAGAGATGATACCACAGGAACGAGTCAAACATGAGAAGAGATGCAAAAGTGATGTGATAAATTCTTTTCACAATTCATGACTATCTAAGCCATAAGGTTCATCAGATACCGTCGTAGAAAATTCAGCAAAGGCCGTGATACCACTTTGGGATTACACAGCCTCAGAGCTTGACTCTATTTCCATTTGTCTCATCATATGAACCGTGTATGGCTGGATGAATCTGGCTTGTTCGACCAAGCGCGTAGTAGCCCATCAACTCCGACCGTTGTCAGAGAGCGTCTACCCTCAGATCCGAAAAGTGTGTGGGTGAATGAACGTTCCTCGCCTCAAGAATAAGCCCCATTGAGTTACCATCCGTGACACCTTGTTTGACCAAAGAGCAGGAAGGCAATCGCATAACCATAAACTGGACGAGAAGACCCTCCATACCTGACGCTTCCCGGTGTCTCCCTCCTCCTCCCAGTATTGCAGCGAACCTCAGCACGTGAGCAAGGTAGCCAACGGACTCGTATCATCATCCAGGTGTCAGCCCCTCCACCCGCGACCTCAGAAAGCCAACCAAAAGGGAGTGCGAACGGGTAAAGAGACGCGGAAAGAGTTGTAGTCGGTAGTGGAAGCCGCGGCTTCTATGGCGGTTCGTTGCTGAAAGTGCGATCGCGAAAGATCGTTGTCCGGGGACTTTCTCCCAAAGCGCGAGACGAGACACCCTTGCGGGCGCTCTGTGCGTAAGCTTCGTTGCGATTCTTCGAGCGAGGAACGTTGGAAGAAGGAAGAGGTGGGTGACGGAAACTTTTTAACATGGGGCGGAGGCCGGGGGCCGAGCTAGGCGCGCTAGGCAGAAGCGGACTGGCGCCTGCAAGGGTGCCTGGAGAGCTTTGGTGCGTCGCCTGTTTCTTTGCTGAGCGCGTCGTCGGTGAAGAACATAAAGTCATCTGGTCTGCTGCGCGCGTAGCAACCCTATTCACTGCTACCAGTCTCGAAACACCTCCACGTGACGGGAAACTTCCATACGAGCGCGTACGAATTACTTTCTCGTCAAAGCTTGGGATCAACACCGCAACCTCGCGCAAAGCTTCGCAACAACCAACACCCGCACTTCGAACGCGCCCAGATACAGGGACGTAATCACAAGAGATGGCTCTTTTCGGTCAGGCCGCACCGGCCGCATCTGCTAGCTCCACCACCGGCGACACCAGCAAAGACGTCGAAGTCCCGGCCGGCCAACTGCCCAGCGACAGCATATCTGACCTCCAATTCTCGCCGACGAACGACTTCCTCGCCGTGGGCAGCTGGGACAAGAAGGTCTACATCTACGAGGTCAACGGCAATGGCGCGCAAGGAAAGTGGATATTCGAATGCCAGGGTCATGTTCTGGGTCTCGGATGGTCAAAGGTACGTTGAGCAACATGTTTGGCAGTCATGTCCGAATACTAACATAATCAGGATGGCACTCGTATAGCAGCCGGCGACTCAACAGGCATGCTCAACATCGTCGACTTCCGCACTGCCCCCGCCAGCGGCACCGTCCCTGCACAACAAGCCAAGGCCCACGAGAACGGCATCAAGTGCGTCCGCTGGTTCCAGACCGGCGGCAAGGACTACGTCGCGACCGGTTCCTGGGACAAGACCGTCAAGTTCTGGGATCTCCAGGGTGCCGAGCCCGTCGGTACTCTGACGTGCCAGGAGCGCGTCTACAGCATGGACATCAAGGATCAATTGCTCGTCATTGCAACCGCCGAGCGCCACATCCACATGGTCAACCTCTCGAACCCCACAACCATCTACAAGACCATCACCAGTCCCCTCAAGTGGCAGACAAGGGCCGTGAGCTGCTTCACAGATGCGACTGGCTTCGCCGTGGGCTCCATCGAAGGACGATGCGCCATTCAATATGTCGAAGACAAGGACACCAGGTAAGCACTCCCACGTCTACATATCTCACCACACCATCTAACTCATACCTAGCCTCAACTTCTCCTTCAAGTGCCACCGCCAACAAGACCCCGCCAACCGCGACATCGCAAAGGTCCACTCCGTAAACGCCATCTCCTTCCACCCCCAACACGGCACCTTCTCCACCGCGGGATCCGACGGCACCTTCCACTTCTGGGACAAGGACGCCAAGCACCGTCTCAAGGGCTACCCCGAAGTCGGCGGCAGCATCGTCGCGACGGGCTTCAGCAAGGACGGAAACATCTTCGCCTACGCCGTCAGCTACGACTGGAGCAAGGGCTACGGTGGCAACACGCAAAACTACCCCATCAAGATCAAACTTCACCCCATTTTGGGAGACGAGTGCAAGCCTAGGCCTGGAAGTAAGAAGAGGTAATCCCTGAGTAACTCGGGGATTTCCTTTTTTCTTCCTTGTTTGACTTGTTGGCGCTTTTGCTGACAAAGCGTGTCTGAAGAAGCGGAGATGAGACCGGAGACGACAGCGGAGACGAGAGAGAAGGCGAAAGCGGCAGGCATCGAAGCTTTGTTGGCTGCGAGTATGCCGCCCGGAAGGCCAAGTCGTCGATTACGAGGTCTATAAGAACGGTGCGTCCGTACTTGGTCTTTACAGATCGACATTGCTCAGCGCATGCCCGTTGACTCACTCTGCAATCGCACGATATCACGGTGTTTGATGTTTTTTCTTGGTTTCCTGCATTAGCGTTCAAGGGACTGGCGTATAGAGAGATATAGTATCATGGGCTGTGGAGGCTCCAGAGTAGGATAGGCTGGAAAATGTAATCTTGTTTCTGTAAGGCCTTTTCGTTGACTGTGACTGTGGGGTACATGAGCGTGTTGTGCTAGTGTCGTCGTCTGGAGCGCAGCTGTATTGACCATGTGGGTAAAACATCAAGTTTGCGAGCAGAAACGATGATCATCTGGACTCAGCACGCACGATCGATCACACGAACTGCTTGACAGCAAACCCGGTCTTTGGAGATAGATATAAGACCCACGATCTTCCCTACATCCTCTTCTCCAACTAGTTCACCACCCACTCACTCACCCCTTCCCCTTCCCTCCCATTTTCCCACATTCCCACCGCCACGCTAACAACCACCCAGTCAACCAGCCCACGGTCCGACCAGTCCATCCCACCAACCATCCGTTCGCGAGCACGCTGCTCCTCCAACACTCGCCCCACGCATCCCTCGTCCATCACCATTTTCGCGTTCTAAGTTATCACGCCTCTCTGCTCCTCCCAGCCCGGTTCACCGGTACGCAGATGCACTCTATCATCACCACAATGTCTTTTCCAGTACCGGCTTCAAACTGAATAAACTGAACAATGAATACCCCATCTCAGGTCAGGGGGATCTAGCGAGTCCTCTGACACCCTGCTTCCGCGCGGAAGGACTCCACTCGTCTGTTCCTCATCTCAGTTAGATGAGGGGTAGACAACCGCACCCGTATGCACAAGGAAACGCTGACCTAGCCCTCAGAGAGGGGAATTTGTTAGAGGGGTATTCGTGTGTAAGGGTGTGTTCACCTGTATCCTTTACACTATTTCCTTTAGGGATGTGGGGGACGGGATGTGCGGAGGAGGTAAGTGATTTTTCTCGTTTTTTTCTTGTGGGGATGGGTGGGTGAGTAGGTGGTTGTGTGGGATGGAAGATTGACATATTTGGCCTTGGCTGGAAAGAGCCCTGGAAAGGCTCGGATTGAGGTGAGTTTTGTCGCTTTGGAACGTGAGAATCTTGACAGTGAACAGAACGCGTAGCCGGAATTGGGCATAGGATGGGGCAGTCCAGTATGAAATAGGGAGTGGAAAGCTGCGTAGACGATATCTCGGGATAGTAATTTGCGGTGTGTGCTTCCAAGATAGATTGATAATGAAGAATACCCGAATCGAGCTTCGTTTCTTCCTTGGAAGGGCAGAATGCAAGATGCGGCATGATCATATTGTGGTT